TAACTGGCAGTTGACTTCTCACTTCAAACTACCGTCACCTGACTCTATGCCATATTCGAATATTTCCTCAGCACTCACCTCACCTTTTTCTACCTTACATCTTTGAAACACCCTTCTCATCCCCTCCCTTCTCGGCTTTTTTCAATTTGATGTTCCTTTCCCTCTGTGAAGTCTGAAGTCAATTAAAGGGCTAATGACAACCATCAAGACGCCTGCCATTTGAAATAAATAAATAAATAAATAAAATATATTGATGACTACTCGCGAATTTTCCTGTTTCAGGCGATATATGCAGACTTCGTAAAATTGTACTAGAATCATTTAATTGCAATAAATGTGATATTTTTTGTGAGCATTTGCCATAGGCAGGAGCTACACACGGCATGTTAATGCTTTTGGAATTGCGATATGCGTTGGTATTAAGGAGAATTTTCGCTTTATGAATTTCACAATAACTGAAATAGGTTTTCTCACGACACTAAGTAATATTAGTGACTGCAACACTGAGCTGTGAAATAGAGTTGCATATAATAAAATAAATTTAATTATGGAGGTAGAACTGTACCGAAGTGACCTCATCTTTATAATGTGACATTCATATCCAACCATCCTCTTAGCAGAAATTTATGCGATCTTTCCATAAAAAACTCAAGTTAAACTTAACATAATGGTTCTGATGTAATTCCTTATTTTATAAGTCTTGTGAGCCTATTTGTTCTGCTGTGTATGAGCGAAACACGTTATCATGCGAAATCGGTGAATTCCAGCAATATGAACAAAATTATGGATGAAGTGACACTATTTTTATGGCCATTCGCCACAGGTTGTCATCTAAATGAGGGATGATTTGCATTGTTTTGAACCGAATATGAATGAATAAGTAAAGATTACTAAGAGTGATGGATCAAATTTTTGCTTTCGTCCTTATACATGGCTGCCATAAATATAAGCTTCCCAAATTTGGATTAATTTTTTAATTACAATTTATGCAAGTATTAAAAGAAATAGCTTAATTTTCTGTATGTCTTATGGCTTATGCTTAATTATTTCGATTCTTATACGCGCGCTGGTTGTATCTGCGTGTCTCGTTCAATTCATAATAAAAGGCCACTCCCATATAAAATGGTAAATCTGCTATTTTGCTTTATTTTATTTCAAGTAGGCTCGTAGTGCAGAAAAGGCTATGTAAGTTTTCTTGTTTCCGTATCTAATAATTTGATCAGGACAGCGCTCGCTCGATGGCGGGCAGCCTATGTGGACAAAATTAACGAAATCAAGAAACGCCCTCATTTTGCTGGCGATTGTGAAATCCTAAAAGATGCCATGTATTTCCGTCGTCAGGTTGTTCACGAAATTTCTCGGAAGATTGCTCAAATTCAGAATCGTAATTTAATCTATTTATTTTTTAATAGTTATTGGTGTTCAGCTAGCCTTGGTGAATACAAACTTCGAGACCTAAATGATGAAATTAACAAACTTATTCGTGAAAAAGACCGTTGGGATGTCAGAATTAAGGAACTTGGTGGACCAGATTATCGTGAGGATGGGCCAAAACTTCTTGAGAAGGATGGTAGAGAAGCACCAGGGAATCGCGGTTATCGGTATTTCGGCGCTGCCCGCGATTTGCCTGGTGTCAGAGAATTGTTTGAAGAACAGCGTATGTTTTGGTTTTTCTTTTTTCTTTTTTTCATGGTTATAACCGTTTTTTCTTGTTATATAACAGCCCAACCTATACCTCGTAAGACGAGAGGTGAATTGATGAAATCCGTTGATATATCTTACTATGGAAATTGCGATGAAGACGATGGTGTTATCCTTCCCCAGGAAGCTGTTTATGAAGAAAAACGTATGTTAACTATTTTTCACTAGTTTATTTAGTTATTATTAAAGTTTGATGCTCTTGTCCCATGTCGAGATAACTTATTCAGATTTTTATTGGTTTTTTATTTATTTTTCTGTTTTCACTCTCTTTTGGGTTCTTTATTTTAATATAAATGATTAAATGTTAATATCTATCTATAGAGACCTTCTTTCAATAGCTTTGTGATCAAAAGTACAGTTACGGTAAAATTTTTACCAACTATTATCCAGTTACTGTTTTGCCCGAGTTGATTAGAACCATCTTCTACTGTCACTCAAAGACGACCTACGTTGCTGGTCTGAGGAATATTACGATCGGAACACGTAGAATTGGCGACCCTATTGTACAGTTCTTCATTACAAAAGATTCAGAACATCTCTCTTCTTTCTATGCAGAGTTCTTTCAATTCTTCTCCTAATGAGTTTACTAAATTCACATTTGATCTTGCTGATCAACACAAGAAACCACTTTTCTCGTCGTTTCAATCCATAATTTGGAGTAATCTGCTCCTGTGGTATTAGCGAGGACAGGAATTTGCCGGCACTTTTGTGAGGATAATTTGGCTAAATCACGTGCTGATCGTATATCATCTACTATCTCTGTCGACTTAAGCAATGTCCAACTCAAAAAGCCTTTGATCTCACAGGAAACAGTGAATTTCTGAGTGCTCTACCAAATTTCCGGGAGCTTGTCAGCGGAAGTAAAAATTCATCGAGCAGAATCGAGACCCGAATGTCTACTTGGGTTTCTAACATTCATTGCCACTATTCCTCCAAATTCTCACAATTCTACTCAATCGACGGTTTGAGATGTATCTTCTAAAGTGCATTATTTTGTAAATTCTGTCGAGTCGGATAATGTTAAAATGAAGTTCCACTCACTAGTCAGAGATAGTGAAAAGTAATAAGTTTCACACACTCCTTAAAATACTCTCAAAGTCGCTCCAACACGACTTGTTTTTCTAGTCTGTCTTGTCGAAACAACAATGACTCCTCGAGTGAAGGACCTTTGTCGTGACCCTTTTATAACTACTACTAGTTCCAAGGCGATCATCGTAATGTCCTTATTCAATGAAACTGGAGCATATAAATGTTTGTTATATCGAAATAGTCGAAGTATCCAATTTGATTATCTTCTTTAATTTTGATCAAATTAAATCTTATAGCATGCACCACAGTTTTTAATTGCTGACTTCTAATTCCGTTCTATTAGGCCTTAGTGCAATGTGACGTACCAATTTGTTTTCTCTTTTCAGTGTTTTATCAGTTGGATTGCTCATTATTTCTGTTTCACTGGAGCTCGGTTTAAAATATGTTTGCAAGTATTATCTTTTTTTGTCAAAAAGGGACCATTCTCAAAGAATACCTTGCACTTTTGTTTTGCAGTGATGGCAAAGAAAGCCGAGGTTTGGCAAAGACGACATGCCGACGAACTTGCAGGTAGAAAAGCCGCCTACTACAAAACTCCCGAACAGCTTGCCGAAGAAGCAGAGGTTGATGAAGACAATCCGGATGAAAAGGACATTTACGATACCGGCGACAACGTAAGTTTTTACCTAATCAATTCATGTATATATTATGGTTCATTTATTCATAATTGTAATCGTGCGTCGTGTGGGAGACTTCTTTTATCTATGAGGCCAGTCATTATTTATTTATATCAAATTGCAGGCATTTTGATAGTTATCATTAGTCCTTTAGTTGACTTCAGGCTTCACAGAGGGGATGGAGCATCAAAGTGACAAAAAGTCGAGAGGGGGGGGGAACAGAAGAGTATTTCAAAGATGTACAAGAGACAGACACAAAAGTAGAAAATAGCTGAGGTGAGTACTGTGGAAGTGGTGGAATATGATATACAGTGGGGTCATGGCAGTTTGAAGTGAGAAGTCAATTGCTGGTTAATAAACTTTTTTTGCCATATGAGTATACTTTGTCCATGGTGCACCACATGAAGGTGGGTCTATTGCACACCCCTGGCTGGCCAGTATAAAATAGCAAAAGGGCTTTAAGATGATGGAAGTTAAGAAGTTTGGACCAAGATGCATTATTTGGAAAAAGAGATTTGAAAATATATATATTTTCTGATCTTGTCATAGTTCCTTCACTTTCTCCACCTTGTTTGATCCACGCTCTCCATTCTCGCTAGATAGCTTGCAGGCGAGGACATCTTGATACTAAGTGGAATCGTCTATGTTCTTTGATTTGATCTAAACTGTTTAATCTCAAGTTTGATTTTTATCTGAGTGATCCCATCAGTAAGAATATTTCATCAATATTATATCCATTCCACTCTTTGCATTCTGTTAAGTAACTCACACCAATCTAACTCGGTTGTTTTTTAATGTACTGTGCGTTAGCAAACCTTCTAAACAATCTTTCACATTTTTATCTTCTATTTACTTATATTCTCCCTTCCTTTTTTGTGTTCAATTACCATTAAGAAGCCTTCATTTTGTTTCGAAAAAATGCACACAATTCGAATGTGAAACTGAATGTTTTTTGTCATTTTTTTAGCCGGCAGATACTGAACTTTACAAGTTATACGCCAACACTAAGGAACGTGATTCTGACGCTCGTAAATTCTTGGAGTCTGAAGGAACAGTCCATGCCTCTTTAGCAATGGCTCTCTCAGCTTCTGGAATGGTTGAAGAGGAACGCGAACTCACAATCGAAGAGTTGCTTGCCAAAAGTGGTGCTCGTCTCTCAGCTAGTCATCTCAAACGTGCATTTGTTGGACATACAGCTGTACCCAGTCAACAAGAGGTAAACCCTGTCCTTTCAAACTTTTAAAATTCTACCATACTGAAGTCTAATAAGTAGGCGTCTTTAACATTCAGATTGAAGAGGCGTTAGTAGAGAAACGTAAAAAGGAGCTGTTAGAACAATACATGACACCCGAATTCATGGAAAGCCTTGAAAACACGGGTAAATTGCTTGGTGTGGATAGAACTGGAGGGGAAGTTGAATATGATGAAGACGAACAACGTGACACGGAAGTTACGATTCCTATGGAAGGAGTTGATGGGCAAGATCCAGGTCAACAACAGGAGCAGTTGTAATCGTTTTTATTTGTGTACAAAAAGCTCTTCTTACACTTTAAATAAATGATTTTATATTTTTTACAAGAATTATTTGAAATTCGCTTTTCTGCTTATTTTACTTGATAATGCAGTCATGGTGCGAATTTTTTATCTTAATGAGACCTTTTAGATGCACAATTTTATTTTTCAAAGAGAATGTGAAATATAAAAGAAAAATCAAGCATTTTTGTGTTATAAATTCAATTTACTACGATTGTCCCACGTAACAAGTACTAACGATGTTTTATTTAAAAATGTGCCTTTCTTGAAAGTTCACATTCTAATTATAGTGTCGGCCACCATATTTTTAGCGATATTTTACTTGTGGAGGTTGCTATAAGAAGTAATATTAGTCTGTTTTTGCCATACCCCCTGCGTTTGGTTGGAGGGTTTTAATCAGTCTTCATTCGAACTCGGGATGACAGCGAAAATAGGCGTTGACTGGAACCCTCCGAATCATGTAAGTGAATAACTTGCTTTGCTCCGGTCAGAAGAGTTTGCCTCGATTGCCTCAAGGGCCGATGAGCACATTTGTTCTGGAGGGGTAATTACTTTCCTGAAATGGTCAAGCAGTTGGGTGCAACATTGTACATCAGTGTCTGCTAATGTGTTTTGGGGTATAGAGAGGCCTTTCGGTTTGTCATCAATTTGAAATGCTTTCTTAAGTTCAATGTCTTTTTGTATTAGGCCAGATTGTCGTAGGTGCTGAAGAATTTGTCTATTGGAATGTGCAATAGCTTCTCTTACAGGATCTTTGATATGCAAGCGTATTGTGGTGTTCCTTGTAATCAGGAGCATTGCATCAGTGGGTGTTGAATTTATCAGTCCAGTAATTAGTCGTAATGCTTGGTTGTGTGCCTTCTCGAGTTTTTTGAGAATCACCTCAGAGGCTGTAATGAGTGGCACGCAGCAATACAGCATTATTAATTGAACTAACATCTTGTAAGTAGTGTTTAGGGTTGAGCCTGCACAGCTCCATATGATACCATCGAGGCGCCTTTAAAGGAGTCTCGTTCTGCTATTTCGTCGATGTGGTTTTTCCATGTTAGTTTTGTGTTAAACGTCACTATGAGATAAGTGAACGCTTTCGTATTTTCCTTGAGCATTAAATGCGGATTTTTGCTGTGGTGGGCCAATAGAAATGTTTGGAATACGATTTTCGAGGGGTTGAAAACCACTCCGATGTTGTCGCCCCAGTTTGTTAATAGTTTGAGTGCATAACTTAGGAAGCTTTCCGCCATCTTCTGAGCGTTCTTCTTGGGGACGGAACACTATACAACAAGATCATCTGCATGAAGTAAGCATTTGGTGCCCGTGACTGTCTGTACCAATTCGGCTATGTCATTGATGAAGACATTGAAACGAGTGCAGCTTGTGACAGCTCCCTGTGGAAGGCCTGTTTGTAAAAGATTGGATTTTGATAGAGCATTTCCATATCTGACTTTACATGATCTTTGTCCAATGAAAGCTTTTATCCAGTTTAGCATGTTATGCTTAATACCAATCTTTGCCAATTTTAGAATTAGCTTCTCTTTCCATACTAAGTCATTTACTGATTTGAAATCTTCGAATACAGCCGTAAGAGTATTTCTTGCATCAAGGGCATCTTTGATGTGTTGGGAGAAAGTGGCTACTTGTTGGTTAATTGATCCTTGTGGCCTTAAACCTGCTTGTTCACTCCTAGGAATATTGTTGGTCTCAAGGAACCAGGTCAGCCTCCTTTTAACCATTCCGTAACTGTCCAGAACGCTTGTGAGGGAGATTGGCTTATAGTTATCAAAGTTGTTAGGGTCTTTGCCCTTTTTTAGTACCGGTATTACTATGGCCTTTGGTCCCATTCTAATTAGAAATTTCAGATGAATACCGTCTTCTCCAAGAGACTTTTTTCACTTTAGCTGTTATATCGCAGCATTAAGTTCGCAAGGTCTGAATGGTTCAGTAAGTACATTATTTGATATTGTTGTGTCTTCCTTCATTTCACCAAACTTGTATCTTTATATCTCTTGAAGATTTTCTGACAAAAGGGGGTTTCTTTTGCTTGTGGGAATAGAACCTCGCAAAGCAGTTAGCTATTTCGGAGTCGGTGGTAAGCAATTTGCTGTTTAAGCGTATTGGTTCTCTCTTGGGTCTTTCCCTGTTGTTTTGGAGGTTTCCCAGGAATTTGAAAGTGCGTTGGCTATCACTTTGATAGTTGATATTTGAGATGAACTTGTCGAATGAAGTCCGTTTAGATTGTAAGATGGCTTATCTTAGGACAGCTGACTGCCATCTCCAGGCTCGTAGATCTTCCGTTCTTCTAGTCTGATCAGCAGTGTTTGCGAAGGGCGTCCCGCTTTCTTTTCGGTTCCTCAAGGTGTTCAGACCAAAACACTCGATACTCTTTAGTCTTGCCTCGGGAAATAGTTTTCTTTGCACATCTGATTATAATATTGGCGATACTGTTGCGCGGTTTGTCAGGTTGTTGGTTGCAGTCGATGTGACCGGCGTGAAGTTCGTTTACAAAAAGGTTTGTGAATCTAGGCCTGT